GTGAGGCCAAAGCCAGACTTGGGTTGCTGCAGACCCCAGCGGTGGGTTCCACCGTCTGCAAGGGGTCAGAAGCGGGCTGGGGGAGGGAGAGAAGGGCCCCGGCCCTCACTGCTGTCTCCTCTGCCCTGCAGGAGAATGGCCACGTGAAAAGCAATGGAGACTTAACCCCCAAGGGTGAAGGGGAGTCACCACCCGTGAACGGAACAGATGAGGCAGCTGGGGCTACTGGCGATGCCATCGAGCCAGCGCCCGCTAGCCAGGAAGCTGAGGCCAAGGGGGAGGTCGCCCCCAAGGAGACCCCCAAGAAGAAGAAGAAATTCTCTTTCAAGAAGCCTTTCAAATTGAGTGGCCTGTCCTTCAAGAGAAATCGGAAGGAGGGTGGGGGCGATTCCTCGGCCTCCTCACCAACAGAGGAAGAGCAGGAGCAGGGGGAGATCAGCGCCTGCAGCGACGAGGGCACTGCCCAAGAAGGGAAGGCCGCTGCCACCCCTGAAAGCCAAGAGCCCCAGGCCAAGGGGGCAGAGGCTAGTGAGGGTCCAAGGGAGGAGACACGGAAGAGGAGGCAGGGCCCCAGGCTGCAGAGCCATCCACTCCCTCGGGGCCCGAGAGTGGCCCTGCATCGGCCAGCGCTGAGCAGAATGAGTAGCTGGGTGGGGGCAGGTGGGTGATCTCTAAGCTGCAAAAACTGTGCTGTCCTTGTGAGGTCACTGCCTGGACCTGGTGCCCTGGCTGCCTTCCTGTGCCCAGAAAGGAAGGGGCTTGTTGCCCCCTCCCAGCCACGATCCCTCTCTCCCTCCTGTGGATTCTCCCATCAGCCATCTGGTCTTACTCTTAAGGCCAGTTGAAGATGGTCCCTTATGGTTTCCCAAGTTAGGTTAGTGATGTGAAATGCTCCTGTCCCTACCTCCTACCCAGGCCCCACCCCTGCAGAAGGCAATTGCTGGCTTTCCTCCCAATTCTTTTCCAAGTACGTTTTGTTTATTCTACTCCCGAAACCCCTGAGCCAGAAGTGGGGGGCTTATACTCCCAAACCCTGAGTGTCCAGCCTTTCCCCTGTTGAGTTTTTAGTCTCTTGTGCTGTGCCTAGTGGCACCTGGGCTGGGGAGGACATTGCCCCTGTCTGGGTTTTATAAACGTCTTACTCAAGTTCAAACCTCCAGCTTGTGAATCAACCGAATCTCTCTGACTTGACAAGCAAGTGTTAGGCTTCAGGGCGGGAGGGAGGTCTGTAATGTGAAACTTTTTGTTGTCTTTTTTTTCTCCCATCGTTGTAAATAACTTTTAATGGCCAAACCCCAGATTTGTACTTTTTTTTTTTCTAACTGCTAAAACCATTCTCTTCCACCTGGATTTACTGTAACATTTGGAAAAGGAATAAATGTTGTCCCTTTAGTGGTGCTTTAATGAGTGGTCTTCTGGGGCACGGGGTAAGAAAGAAGACTGGCACAAAACAGGAGTGAGAAGACAGCAGGTGAGTCCAAGGAGTTTTCTGGCAATTACCGGGAAGAGAGTGTTAAGAACACATTTGGGGCACTGCTAGGAAACAAGCTCAGGAGGGTATAGAAATGTGTTGTTTTATTATAAAGTTTCACAAAATGGAATATCTCAAAAAGGAAGCTAGGCTAACACCTCCACCTGCAGAGTTGGGGGAAGACAGGGCAATGGGAGTTTTTCTGCTTGCCTGAGTCCAGTGGGAAGGTATAAACAGAACCAATCTAAAAATGGTTGATATTACCTAAGCCTGAAAATAAGGGGTCCAAGAAGACCCAGTTACCCCTTCTAGAAAGCTTAATAAGGGCATCGTAACAGAGCTCCTAAAGCAGGCACTTGGCAGTTCAGGATTTTGTCTTCCGGTTGTTTTCTTTCCACCCTACATGTTTGAAAACTAAGACCTGAGCAGGATGGACAAGGTGGCTTTGGGAAAAGTTCCCCCAGCACCACTACACTGAGCTCTGGTCCCTGGTTCCTATCTAGTCCCTGGGGACATTATATTTAATATATTTTATATAAATACACAGAGGAATAGAAAATATAAAATCTGAGATTGAGAAGAAGTGGGGAACTTGGGGCGAGGCCACAGCCGTAGATCTTACTCAGGCTAGCTTGACCTCTTCTTTCACCCTGTGGAGAAAACAGACTGCATGAGTAAACCTACTCAGGAGGGCTGGAAGCAGAAATAGGGCTACAATGACTTCCATAGGCCCCTGGCTGCCCAGGTGACTGCTGGGGGGGGGGGCTTCTTAGTGCTACAGACATGCAGGCTGGACCCTGAAAGGGGCCTTTGTAAGCTGGACCAGCTGTCCCTGCGCCTTCTCTGCCCTCCCCAGTGGTAGGACACAAATGGGGTGATGCTCCAATGCTGGGGAGATGCCCAACAACTCCTTCCTCACCCTTTGGCTTCTGGCTTCTCCTCCTTGGTCTTCTCCTCTTCGATGACTTCTAGAACATAAGAGCACAGGGATGGTTGAAAGCTTCAAAAGACCCAGGTCAGACAGTGGGAGTCTTCTATCCTGAAACCCCTTCTTCAGTATTACAGTTCACTGGTTATAGAAAAATGAGAAAAGCCCATCCCAGGTCCTCTGGTGAGTCTGGCTGAAAACAAACAGGTTAGACCAGTTTCCTAGCCAGTTTCAGCCAGAACACAGGCAGAGGCAGCCCCCTGGGAAACAGGGCAAACAAAGTGCTGGGGAAAGGGCTTGGGTGGTATGTGAGAGCCAGGCTCAATCTGCCAGCAGAGCCCAGGAGTCACTGCGGGTCTTGCTACTTCCAGGAGCTACTGAAAGGCTCAAGGAACCCACAGAAGCTGACTGGGTCTGGGTTAACACCTTCCTGTGCCTTACACAGACCCAAGTCCTGGTCCAATACAAACCCACCTTTTTTCTCTTCTGGATCTTTTTCTTTTTCATCCTCTGTTTTGACTCTTTTGGCTTTTTTGAAATTAGAAGAGTTCTTGCGACCACCTTCTCCCTCCTCATCTGAATCAGAGAATTCTTCCTCACAGGCAATTCGTTTGTCAGAAGAACAGACTAGGAGGGAGTAGACAGATGAAATATTGGTATGTGAGCAAGGGGTTATTTCAGTATCTATGCCCAGTGTCCTTCAAGAAATGCTACAGGGATGGAATGGTAGATCCTGCATATGAGAAGGCCCTGGGTTCCATCCTCAACATTCCTCCACAAAAGACATCAGGAGTCTTAAAACTATAAGGTTTCTTTCCTTTTTGGTTTTGCAGGACAGGGTTTCTCTGTGTAATAGTCCTGGCTGTCCTGGAAGTAATTATGTAGACCAGGCAGGCCTCAAACTTACTGAGATCCACCTGCCTCTGCCTCCTGAGTGCTGGGATTAAAGGTTGCACCATCACCACCCAGCAAATATAAGGTTTCTTAACAGCTGGGCAGCTTGGAAGAGATGAGGCAAGTTCAGAGCTGACTACTGAGCAGGGAATACAAGCCCCTGGATTTAGGTCTTACTGGAGATGCGTTTGTCAGGGTCTTCTTCATCCTCATCACCACTCTCCTCTGGGATGGCATCCTCAGGTATTGCCTGCATTTGGACGCCAGGCGCATGGGGCAGCATTCTCAAGTTCTCAAAGAGCCTCTGCCTACGGTTAACATTGGTTAGAGACAATGCAGATCTGGCCTGTTCAATGGAGAGGCAGCTTAGCAACATACTTACTTGATTTTCTCCAGGTATTCGTTAGTGTTCTGGTTGGTCATATTGGAAGGGCTGATATGAAGCTTGAAGTCTGGTCCAAAGTATTCAAAGTAGTCATTGTACGGTAGCTCTGAGGGGGCATAGGAGAGGAGAGTCAAGACATAGCCAGCACAGGGCCTGGAAAAAAGCATAGGAGCTTTCCCTGGGTCCGTTTACCCACCTGGAAAAGAGATGAATGCCACCAAGACACTGAGACTTGGACACCTACAAAGTCTCAATTTTTTTCTCTTCTGTCTTTTTGAGACAGGGTCCCTCTGTGGCCAGGGTGGCCTGAGCTCCCTTCCCAAAGGCTGGGATTACACTTAGGACCCACTTAATTTTGATGACACCATTCTCTAATATCAGCACTAGTAGAATATGTGTCTCCAGGAGGGCAAAGGTCAAGCCCTGTTCACTAGCCCATGCAGTGGAAATCCCAAACATCTAAATAACTGGTAGTGTCCACACCAAGACAAGACTAGGGAAAAACTGATGGCTACAGTCTGCCTATCACCAGAGAATAAGCAGAGGCCTCAATCATGAGTATGAGAGACATTATGACTAAATGGGAAAGAAGTTGTAAATGGAGGCACATGAGATCCAGCTCCCACCCAGCCCAGACGAGGAGCTGATACCATTAGGGATCTCCGTGTCCAGGGCCACAGCTGTTTCGTAAGTCCAGCACCGAGCAACATTACGGATGGTATATCCACCTCCTCCCAGCATTAGCATAGGCAAGTTGAAACTCTTGACAAACTCCACACACTTGGCATGCCCTATGGAAGGAAAAGGGATGTTGGTTTACAGGGGAACCCAGCAGACCCTGCTCATCCCTGTGCGTGCTATCTGGTCTCACCTTTGATGGTCAGATTGAAGCAACCTAACCGGTCTCCAGATAAGGAATCTGAGCCACACTGTAAGACTACTGCACTAGGCTGGAACATCTCCATCACTTTGGACATGACCTAAACGGATACACCTTGATTATCATAAAAAAAAAAAAGACTAGTACAGCACTTTCTTCCTTTTCATCTCCCCATACTGTGTGGTCGATGAGAGCTTCCCAATTTGTACGCATCTGTAAAGATACATACAGCTCTAACAACTGAGCTTTGAATGACCTCCCATCAACTCCCTACTCTTCCTTTTGGAAGCTTCACAACCTCTAGCTGCTTCTGCTTAATTCATTTGGCCCCATAGATTTAAGCCTATACGTTTATTCTCAAACCTAAGCATGTCATTCTGAAGCCTGAAACTGAAGCTTCTGTCATCTTTACTACCAAGTAGATAGTAGGCACTTGTCTGAGTGATCACATGACTTACATTAAATATTGTTTTAAAAAAGTTTCTGTTTATAGCCAGGCGATTGTTGGTGCACACCTTTAATCCCAGCACTTGGGAGGCAGAGGCAGATGGATCTCTGTTGAGTTCTATTGAGTTCAAGGCCAGCCTGGTCTACAAAGGGAGTTCTAGGACAACCAACACATTAAAACTCTGTCTTGAAAAAGAAAAGAACAAATAGTTGGGCGGTGGTGGCATATGCCTTTAATCCCAGCACTTAGGAGGCAGAGGCAGGAGGATTTCTGTGAGTTTGAGGTCAGCCTGGTCTACAGAGCTAGTTCTAGGACAGCCAGAGCCATTACACAGAGAAATCTTGTCTGGAAAAACAAACAAACAAACAAACAAACAAACAAAACAAAAAAAAAAAAAAGAAGAAGAAGAAGAAGAAAGAAAGGAGTTCTAGTAGTTGACTTCAAAGATATGGAGACATAAAACATGCAGGACTGCTACCCTCACTATCAGATCAGCCTGTTCCCATCTTTCTTTGGAGCATTCTGTAGGGGAAGCTGTAGCCACGCCTCCAGCCCCTAAGTAGGCATGGCTACAGCTTCCCCTACAGCATTCTCTGCTTTGTCTGCTACATAAACTTCTGTTTGAAAGGTCAAAAACATTACTGTTAGCCAGGCAGTGTGGTGGTGCACACCTTTAATCCCAGCACTCGGGAGGCAGGTGGATCTCTGAGTTCTAGGCCAGCCTGGTCTACAGAGTGAGTTCCAAGACAGGCTTCAAAGCCACAGAGAAAACCTGTTTTGAAAAAGAAAACAAACAAAAACAAAACAAAAAACCCCAAACCTTTAGTATTGTGTAACAGTCTCTGATTGCATCCTGCATGGATGCTCCTTAAGCAGGAAGGTAAAGGATTCAAAACTGCTTTAGGAAGTCCCTGAAACTCGGACTGCTTCCTGTCAGAGTAAGCAGTAAAAGCTGCAAAGACTCTCAGACCAGACCAGATGCCTGGAAGAAACAGAAACCAGTTGAGCTGCCTGGAAAAGATTCAGACCAACTCAGCCACCTGGAAAGGACACCACCCTGTGAGTTGCCTGGAGGCTGTGCAGTGTGCTTCAGGGTCCCAGCTTTTGTAAACTACCACCCATGCTGGGTACGCTTTGGTGATGCAGCTGAGTCATTTCTATTTCTATAAGTAACCCCTTACCAATACTCCTCTAAGTAACCCCAACAAAACTAATTGGTTCATCAAGTTTGGTCTGCATGGGTTCCCTATCTGGGGTGAATACAGACGTGTTGTGTCTCCCCAGAAAAGTTTTGGCATACAACTGACCACAGACTGCTAAGTACATATTGTTTACCTCCCACAAAGATTGTGCCTTGCATGTTAATGTACTAAGCAATGGCCAGACTCTCAGAAAGTAGAAACAAATTACAGTGATGGCTTGTTTCCCACTACCATACAGCAGTCAAAGTTGAAAGTATCTCTCCTTTTCCAATAAGCCACAGTGAGGAACGATCTCTCGGCCATGGTAGGTGCTTTGCTCTCTTTCCAACAGTAGCTAAGAGGTGAATTAAGGCACTTACTGGCTTGAAAATGGCTTCATAGGACTCATCATCAATCCCATCTCGGAGAGGGTAGTTAACAGCATAGTACTTGCCTTTGCCAGCCCCAATATCCTAATCAAAAGGGATATGAAAATAAAATTGAAAGACAAATAAAAGGGGATTCAAAGATGGGGTCAAAAGGTTAAGTAAAGACAGTGGTTCCATGAGACCAGATGAGCCGGTGAGATAGGAAAGGCCAAAGCAAGCCCAACTTACAACTCTCAATATCCCTGAACCTACACAGGGCAAAGATTCAATATCCTACCCCACAGCACAAGATTTCTGTCTCTAGCTAAGAGCCAGCAAACAGGTGGGTCACAAAAGTAAAATCGACCACCAACAACTCTGTCCAGAGTTTTACTGTACATTCCTCTACTTTTATTCTTTATAGGAAGCTGTGGAGGGCAACAGTAAGAAGAAAGCTTCTTCCAATTGACTTCAAAATAGTAAAAGCTACTTATTTGAATGTTTGCTGTATCAAACAACTTAATTAGTATTATTTTCCCATCTAAGGGGGTCTGTCAGGGCAAAGGTATCTCACTGTACTCATGCTAACAGAAACAAAGTCCATTAACTGTCCTACTTTCATGCAGTGTTCTGGGGAGAGCCCACTGCTTTCAGTCATATGGCAAGGGGAAGGGGACCTAAAACAGAGGACCTTCGAGGACTCAGTGAGGACCCCTAATCCCTCACTCCAAATTCAAGCTTGTGACATAATAGGGTGATGTAACTGAGCTATGGTGAGGAGGGGGAACAACGAGCCAAAAAAAACCCCTGAATTCCGACTCCTTGTGTCCCGTTATCCCCTTTCCTGAATAAAGAATGAAAGAGATTGTGTAGTGTAGTATTTTGAATGGCAGAAGAGGCAGGAAATAGTTTAGTGGCAAAGGATAGAAGTTAGAGCGGAAGGTGAAGTGGTTGGTTCCTAAAGGGAGTTCTCACCCGAAGGTCCCCAGTTCCTGGGAAGTACTCTCCATATTTATGAAAGGACACAGTCATGACCCGGTCTGTGGTATAGAAGGCCTCTTCCACACCATCGCCATGATGAATATCAATGTCAATATACAGCACCCTCTGGTGATACCTAGGATCAGAAGGTAGTCAAAGGTCTGGGGCTCTTTGAGGATGGGACGCGCCAAGGGCGCCAGGTCCCAGCTTACCGAGCTAGCTGCCTCCCTCAGGTATCTCTAAGCACCAGAGACGTGGAAACTGGCTGAAGGAAGGTGGAAGAGCGGCCCGGTGTCTCCAGAGGCCTGACCAAGCCGACCATGTCCGATCTTCCTACTCTACAGCCAGGGTCAACTCCAGTCACACAAGGACACTCTGGAGGCAGGATCTGAGCAGCACCGGCCCCAGATCTTGCCGTGGGCTCAGATCAAACCAAGACCCCGTCAAGGAGAGGATGGCCAGAGACACTCATGGAACACATCCTAGCCAGCACACCGTAAGAAAAGCAAACTAGGGAGGCAAGCCCCGGGGAGAGGGAAGTGGGAACCTGGCCTAAGATGCTCTTCCAAGACACAAGGCCAGGCAGGCATACTTTAGCAGTTCCAGGATGGCCAAGACGATATCATTGACGTAACAGAAACCGGATGCTTCAGACTTCTTTGCATGATGCAGACCCCCAGCCCAGTTCACAGCAATGTCCGTCTGCTGCTTATTAAGTTTCACAGCACTTGCTGGGCACAGAAGGAGAACACAAGCCTGTTATTAAACCATTCCCCTCCCCCAAGAACCCAGAGAGAGGCAGCTTATCATACAATACAGACTATAAAATTCACTAGTCATCCACTTCTCATTTCAATAGGGAGTAAGATTTCAAATCAAGGATAACCTATTGACACCCTAAAACTAATTTAGTGAGAAGGAGGGAGGGAGGGAGGAGGGAGAGAGGGAGGGAAATGGATACACAAACGATGAAATGGAAGTAGCAGTCATCTACGGAGTGAATTTGGATGGGTTTGGCTTTTTCTGTGTGTTTTTCAAAATTATATGGGGGGGGTGGAAGAGACACAATAACCATAGGAAAATGAATAAAATTAAGCATTATACAAGGTTTTAATTAAAAACAGAATATCCATCTAATATTGTTAACGTAAGCATATCATAGAGCTGAAAAAAAAATGTTGCTTTGTCGAGGCAGGGTTTTGTAGTATGGCCCAGACTGAACTGAAACACTATATTAGGCGATTCTCCTGCCTCAACCTCCAGAGTGCTGGTGTCATAGGTGCAGTGCCATCATGCTCAGTTGTCGTAGCAGTACAACTCACAACTAACATGGCTTCCCTAACAGTAGAGTAAATGAATCTACTCCAGGTACATAAGTGATGTCTGATAATGTTAACAAATGCCTGAGACTGATTCATGTTATACTTAAAAGATTTGTGGTTTTGGATTTTTTGGATATTCTAATTGTATATATGGTTCTCACTGACCTTTAACTAGTTACTCTCCTGCCGCATACTCCCTAGTGATGGAATTATAAGCATGTGTCATCACATTGACTCCTAACAGTGTTCTTTTAGAGGGTACAGCCTCCGCCCTCCCCAGACAGGGTTTCTCTGGGTAGCCCTGGCTATCCTGGAACTTGGTTTGTAGACCAGACGGTCCTTGAACTCAGAGATTCACTTGCCTCTGTCTCCTGAGTGCTGGGATTAAAGGCCTGCATCACTACCACCTGGCTAAAGGCACATACACACTCCACTAAGCAGGGCATGGAGGTGAACACATCTTTAATTGTAACAACTAGAGGCAGAGGAAGGAGGATCTGTGGGAGTTCAAGAACAGCCTAATCTACATAGCAAATTCCAGAATACATAGGACTACAAAGATTACATAGAGGCCTTTTCTCATAAAAGCAAAAATAAATTTAAAGAATTCACTGTCAACAGAGAAACCTGTTTTGAAAAACCAAAACCAAATCAAAATAAATTCACCGCCAGGCTGCTGACAAACACCTCTAATCCCAGCACTAAGGAAGCAGAGGCAGGGGGATCTCTTAAGTTTGAAGCTAGCCTGGTCTACTCAGTAAGTTCCAAATCAGTGGAACTCATTTAAACCCTGCCTTCATACATACTGATCTCTTGAAAAAACAACACACACACACATGCGTGCGCGCAAAAACAATGTTTCAGTACACACGTACATTTACTGTGTTTACTGTGGTATGAGTGTTATGCCTACATGAATGTATATGCATGCCTACACGGATGTAATGTGCTCCATGTAAGTGCCTGATGCCCTCAGATATCAGAACAGGGCCCTGGACACACTGAAACTGGAGTTATAGTTATGAGCATGGGGCCTGGGAACCAAACCGATGTTCAGGAGTAGTAAGCACTCTTAGGTGCTGGGCCACCACCACTGCCCCACGTTTGAATTCATCTCACATTCCTCTATTATTCGTCAGGATCCTAGGACCCTATACTATAGGTCCAATACACGGCCTAGATATGTAATATTTATATAGCAAAACTGCCTAGCAACACATTCCAAAAAACATGTCCCCATCCTTAAGTCACGGATCACTGCATTTCCATGTTTAGGACAATGCTAAGGTAACCCAGAAGTCATAGTGCAAATGACTTGTGAGGAATATTATGACATCAGAAGTTAATGATCTCACTTTCTCATAAGACACAGATGCTGATCCTACATTTATAAAACTTTGTCATTCACAAATTGCTTTTATATACTATATTTTAACAAACCCATTAAGTCCTGCAGGAGATTCCTGTATATAGGCTCTCTTGGCAGAAGAGAGTTAAGAACACCTGTCAGTACTGTGTCAAAGATGTAAAGTAAAAACCCACAGCACCATTCTTAGTGGTCACAGGTAAGCACTACCAGGGCCTCATCTAAAACGAAGGTCTCACCGTAACAGTCTAGTACATCCCCAGGAACTGATTTTGTTTCCTTACCCACAGAGCCACCAGTAGACAGCTGACAGAACTCAAACAAGCCATCAAATACTGGACAGTCCTCACCAACGTTGACTTGAAAGAAATAAGTAAAGGGTTAGTTTCCACAATTTCCTTCAGTTTGTAAATATTTATGAGCTGATGTGATAAAAAGCATTCAGAAGGCTTGGGTTCTAGTCTAGGTTAACTTCTTAGAGATCTAGGCTATCAATTATAATAAGCAATAATAATATTCACTTCAACTAGTCAGTGGGAAAATTAAGAGACCCCCCCTTTTAGAGACATGATCTCACTGTGTTCCACAAGCTGGTCTTGAACTCCTGGTTTAAGCTGTGCTGCTGCCTCAGCCTTCTGAGTAGCTAGAACTACTGCACACATAGCATTAGAAATCTTACAGAAGCATTTAGCGACTTGGAAAGTGCTGGAAAAGGTGCCTACACAACAGTGTTCATGGCATGCCGCTCACTAAGCCCTGTAATACCTGCTGCATTTATCCTCACATGTGCTTCTGGGGTAGAATTTGCTCCAATCCTATAAGTGGGGAAATGGGCTCAGAGAAGTGAACTGCTAATACTAGAGGCAAAATACAAGCCTCATGCTTTGCTGCCTGCCCTAAAGGACTGAGAAAAAGTATCCTGTTTTTTTCCAAAGTGCTTTCACATATACACTCTTATTTGAACCTTGAAACTCCAAGAATTTGACAAGACAGGACTCGAACCCACTGTGCACCAGAATGAGGACATGCAAAGGAGTTAAGTGACTTGCTGAAGGCTATATAACCAGGTAGTATCAAACTAGAATAGGAAGGATTTAGGTGTCTTGACCACCACAGTCCAGTGCTTTCTACTACACCCCCAAGTGACAAATCAAGTTATTTCAAGCCCATGAGGTAAAAGTACAAAGTAGGGCACATTGTAGAAACACATGCAAACACAAATGCAAATGCAGGACAGACAGGAAGCACACCTAGAGGGTGGAGTGTCAGAGCCCCAGCCTCTCCTCTCACAAACAAGGAAACTACTGAGGTCAGGGGGGCAGATGTGGGGCTACATCCCTATTCTCTTGCTCCACTCTTTTATTGATGGAGGTTCCCAAAGTAGAGCAAAAAGAATATGGGAAGGCCAGCCTGGATTACGGTAATATTGAGACACAGCTATTATAACCTGGCTAAGAAGGTAAAAGTGCTTGCTAAGTCAAGTGACCTGAGTTCCATCTGTAACCCACAGAAAGGTGGAAGGACTCAACTCCTCTTGCCTCTAGCCATACGCTGTAACATGCTCACATCCCCACCACATACACATAAAAACTATTAAAAAAAAAAAAAAAAAAGCTACTAACTCCAGTGCTACTGTAACTTGAAGAGTGCCCCAAGTCTGGTGCTTACTTAGAGAGTGGTAGGCTTTTCCTCACTTTCTTGGCAAACACTGGGAAAAGGCTATGCCAATAAGAACTTCGGTGCCTAGGGCCAGGTTATTTATCCAGGGGCAAATAAATCTGCACCCCTAGATTTTTTTTCCTTCCCTGAAAGAGCAGGTCGTGGTATCTGAATTTCCAAAAGGTGCCTTACACTACTTTGTGGGATATGACATTCCCTGACATACCATGGGAGGGAATGGGTGTTTTAGACATAAGAAGACTATCAACCATCAGGACCCAATACAACACACAGCTCACACAAGCCAGTCTGCTAATTTTTAGTTCAAGAAGACAAAGTGCTAAACACAGTTGACTCACACTTGTAATCTCAGGTCACGGTGGAAGGAGAATGACGAAAATTTCAATTTAGCTACATAGTTCAAGACCAGCCTGGACTATATGAGACTACTTCCTTTAAGAAAGCAGCATCTTGAGACAGAGCAAGCAGGGAGGGTCATGCCTGTAATATCAGCTCTTAAGAATGTCTCTGTTAGTGTGAGACCACACAGTACGTACCAACCAGGCCTAAATAGTATTAGACCCTATCTCAAACAACAACATAAGAGCATGTAGAAACCTGTATAACATTAAACACTGGGTTGGAGAAATGGCTCTTCCAGAGGTCCTGAGTTCAATTCCCAGCAACCACATGGTGGCTCACAGCCATTTGTAATGAGATCTGGTGCCCTCTTCTGGTCTTCAGGCATACATGGAGGCAGAATGCTGTATACATTAAACACTACTGGAACCCAAGTTACACCTGGCAATAGGGTCACAGAAAGGGGGAGGGGATCAAAAGAGAACCAGCAAAGTATAGAAACAAGAAGCTGTGACCAGGGGTTGTCAATTGTACTCATCATGTCTTCCTTCTTGGGCTGTGAGGAAACACGGGTATTCATTATTTTCGATAAATGTTTTTTTTGTTTGTTTGTTTTAAGACAAGTCTCACACTGTAGCCCACTCATTCACTAAGTTGCTAGGCTGGCCTTCAACTAGAGGCAGTCCTCTTACCTGGGTCCCTAACTTCAAGATTATAACCATGTGTATAACTAAACCCCATTGCCTTTTGTTATGGTTTTTTTCTTTCTTTCTTTTTTTTTTTGAGACAGAGTCTCACTGTGTAGCCCTGGAACTCCTGTATTTAAAATAATTTTTAGAACAGTTATTATACATAATACAATGTGCATATTATGCCAGGCAGTGGTGGCACATGCCTTTAATTCTGGCACTCAAGAGGCAGAGGCAGGCGGATCTCTGTGAGTTCAAGACCAGCCTGGTTTACAAGAGCTAGTTCCAGGACAACCTCCAAAGTCAGAGAAACCCTGCCTTGAAAAACAAAAACAAAACAAAAAAAATTCAATGTGTATATTACAAAAAATAGATGTTATAGCATACTGTTTAGAGGATGACAGAAAAAAAATCTGCTAATGTTCAGTACAAATGCATTCTTTTTTTTTTTTTTTTTTTTTTTTTTTTTTTTTTTTTTTTTTTGGAGCCTATTCTGGCACTCGCTCTGGAGACCAGGCTGGCCTTGAACTCACAGAGAGCCAGCCACCTGCCTGAGTGCTGGGATTAAAGGCGAGCACCACCAATGCCCGGCTGCATTCTTTGTTGTTATACAAGGTTCTACTCCATATCCCAAGTTAGCCTTGAAGACCCATCTTCCTGCCTCAGTCTCCCAAGTGCTATGAATTTTTTAAAGAGTGGTTAACAGAGTCACACATATGGGATGTAGGGACAAGAGTCTGGAGTTTCCTTTTTACCCCTGCTACCTTGCATGTAATTCTGAGAAAACGTTTTACCTCCTGGATCAGTCTGCATAACAGACAATGTGCCAAACCCTTCAATCTTTTTCATCACTTTTTTACCACAAGTTCCATGTTGGGACTGTATGCTCCAGAAATTATATTTATTTAGGTTCTCATTTTGATTTATAAAATAAGAGCAAAGCAGAGCATCTGATCAAGGTTCTCAAAGTCTCAAAATGGGCTTTTATGTGCACCAAGAGTATATATAAACTCCCTAGGTTAGATACCATTAAACATTACTACTAACGAGCTCATAGGTTTTGCTTCCTGCGTTGGTAGGCATTTCAGAAAGCACTTCACTAATGACATCTAATGTCTTTACTTTGATTCCTAAAATACTATGAACCAAGTCTAAGGATTCACAAGGTTGAAACCTTCATCCTATCCACCTTTCATTTTTTAAGCTTAATTTTGATTTTTAGTTTGTGAGTACTTGGGTACATGTATGAATGTGTACCATGTGTGTACAGTGCCCACAGAGGCCAGAAGAGGGCATCAGATCACCTGGAACAGATGGCTATCAGCCACTATGAAGGTGCTAGGAATCAAACCTAGGTCCTCTGGAAAAGCAGCCAGTGCTATAACCACTGAGTCATATGTCCAGCCCTGCCCACCTTCATTTTTAATGAGAAAATTACAGACCTACACATTTTAACAAACAACTTTCTAATTTCTAAGAAACCAGAATACTGGCACAGAACCTGTATGTTCCCAAAAGCCTTGTATTTTGTCTGACTTGAAAGATTTGTGAATTGCAGAGATGTCACATAATACCAAAAGCTATTGTTCCTTCTAGGTAGGTACTATGAATGCAATACCTCAAATATAAAATAGGGAAGGTCATCCTCAGAGAGACTTGAAGACTTGGTCAAGATACAAGCAGGAGAGATGGCTCAGTGGGTAAAAACACTTGCCATAAAAGCCTACGACTTGAGTTCAATCCTGGGAACCCATGACAGGAGAGAACCTACTCTCCAAAGCTGTCCTCTGACCTTCACACCTGCAATCGTCACACATAGCCCCACCACCCACCAAAACACATGTATAGTTAAAACAAAAAGGGACACAAAGGGAGAGGTGAGCAGCTCAGTGGTACAGCACTTGCCCGGCAAGCCTGAGACTCTGGTTCAGCACAGCCACACCCACCCTAAATGAGCACAGTTTCACCCACGAACACACAGACAACCAAGTGGAATAGGTGGTAGTTGAGCATTCAAACCAAGACACGAAATCTCAGGACCATCAAGAAAGCTCAACAAAAAGCAAGCCTGATAACCTGATTGTGATTCCCCAGACACAATAACATGGTAGGAAAGGTTCAACTTTTAAGTTGCCCTCTGACTCCCACATTTGCATAAACACATGAAAATTAAAAGCTTAGGGGAAAAAAAGAAAGCTCATTTTCTTCCTGTGATACAGGCTGCTTCTCTATTGAGAACCTGTATTTGACAACTGAGCTTGGTCCTATTGTCAATGTTTCATGGAAACCCCTCCAATCATCTGCAGGTAAGGAACGAGCTGATCTCCACGAAGTCAGCAAGATTGTCAATTCAGAAAGCAAACACTTCCACCACAAAAAAGATTCAGATGTGACAATGTAGTCCCAAATTTGAACAATGCTTTCCATGGCTAGAAGCAATCACAATTCCTATAAAGGAGGTATGGCTTGTGAGATGGGATGAGCTCTGCTGTTTCAGATCCCGGGAGGGGGGAAGGGGTGGAGTCACCTCATCTCAAAGATCATCTATCTAGTCTGTCCTTTGCGGCCTCTAAATTCTAAATACAAAGTTAGAGCAAATACAACTAGACAGGAATCAGAAGCCACACAGCTCACCCTAAACAGAAATCTTAGGAGAAGTGCCCTGCACAGTTAGCTAAGAATAAACCAGTGTCTACTGTCTGCTTCTAAGTCAGTGCCCTTCATATTACAGTTACGGTATACCTGGGACATCACTGTAACCCTAACTGGAAAAAGTCCAACTCTACTATTTAGGATCAGGAGATAAGGAAAACCAGACAAGAAAATGAATACACTGGTACTTTGGGGGAACAAGACAAATCAGCTGTTAACTAAATGGGGGCCAAAGGTAGGTAGGCCTCCCCATGGAAAGAGAAATCCAATGTGGAGTTTTAGAGTGGGGTGGGGATGGAACATACTTACATCTCTGCATCTGCTTGCTGTACTCAGACATATTGTCTGGGCGAATGGAACGCAAGAACTTAATGTAGTCATCACTGTGGTACTTAGTCATCTCCTCAGCATTGGCTTTGTGAGGACGCTAAAGAGTAAAGGGAGAAAGGCAAGTTAGCCTTGATTGGTGTCAGTCTTCACTCTTGTAGCTGAGTCTCTTGTATTTTCTCCCAGCACCTGTCTGCTTCTCTGTGCAGCACCTTTCCCATTACAGTTAGTCAGGTGCTGGACAAACTAATTTGTAAAACTAAGTGCCTTATAAATGATTACTTACTTATTATTCAATAACACGTAGTCAAGAGACAAAAGGCACCAGGAATTCAAGAAAAGGTTGACTCAAGATGATTAAAATATCTTGGAATTTTGTTGTATATATATATTTTTTTTTTAAAGACTGGATTTTTTTTTTTAAAGAGACAACTTTTTTTAAAAGATTTTATTTATTTATTATGCATACAACATTCTGCTTCCATGTATACCTGCACACCAGAAGAGGGCACCAGATCTCATTATGGATGGTTGTGAGCCACCATGTTGTTTCTGGGAATTGAACTCAGACCTCTGGAAGAGCAGTCAATGCTCTCAACCTCTGAGCCATCTCTCCAGCCCCTGTTTTTATTTTTTTAAGACAGGACTCATTATGTAGGGTGGTCTGGCACTCACTATGTAGTTGCCCTTGAGATCCATCTGCCTCCTGGGTGCTGAGATTAAAGATGGAAGCCTGGTTTCAGACAGAATTTTTCTGTGTAGTCCTGGCTTCCAGGATCTTGCTCTGGAGACCAGGCTGGCCTTGAATTTAGAGATAGGCCGGTCTCAACTGAGTATGCTGATAGAAACCTCTACAACAGCACTCAAGAAGACTAGACAGAGGTTAGGACACACGACATAGTTCAAGGGCAGCTTGGGGTGTGTAGACCATCTCAAAAACACACCCCAGGCTGCCCTTAATCTAGAGTTAAGAACAGACTGGTCTATGGAGAAGTTCCAGGCCAGCCAGGGCTATACAGAAAAGCCTGCATGAGAGGGGGAAACAAGACTCGCTTCTCCCTATCCCTGAGAGAAGGATCACCTAGAAAGACAGCCCTCTTCTTTGTCGTTTCCACAACTAACATTTATTGTTTAGTCTGTGTCCATCATGTGCACAAAAGTTCAAGTTCATAGTATTGCAGTAGAATTTTTCAAATTACAACAGAAAAGGTTACACTGGTGGTACACTTGACTGGAAACCCAAGTACCTAACTCTAGGCACTATTTTGAACCTCATTTAATCCAAAAACACCCACAGGTCAGACAGAGTAACTCATATTTGGAATCACAGGACTCAGGAGACTAGGGCAAGAGAGGGAGATCAAGTCCAGTCAGGTCACATATCAAGTTCCAGGCCATTGGAAGCTACACAGAAAATCATTCCTTAAAATCAAAGACAGCCATAGTGAAAAGCAAGACCAAGGGTTGTGTTTTTTTTGTTTTGATTTTTACATTTAAGTTTATTGTGTATATAGGCTTGTGAGTGCATAGTGCACAAGTGGAGGTCAGAGAACAACCTACAGGACTCGGGTGTCACCTTCCACTATGTGGGTTCTGGGGACTGAACTCAGATCCTCAGGCTCAGCAACAAATACTCTTACTCAGTGACCTATTCTGTGAGGGGTCCACAAACTGTGTTATAAAAATTAAGCCCTTTACCCTCTTCAAAATACCAGCAAAGCTCATTTTGGCTATGGCTTCTAAGATACCACCGAAATCCTAACTCCATTTTGGTCTGTGTGCTGAGCTGAACACTCCCAATTATTTTTTTCTGAGACAGGGTCTCACTCTGTAGCTCTAGCTGTCATAGAACTCATTCTGTAGACCATGCTAGCCTTGGAATGACAAGACTAGTCTGCCTCTGCCTCCCAAGTGCTGAGATTAAAAGCATGCACTACTATGCCTAGCTGAAGGCTCACACTTTTAATAGGTTCCCAACCAGCTCTACTACCTAGGAATCCTTGAAAAAATTTAAATTCAGTTAGATTACACCGTTTCTTGTTGCATGCTCAGCAGCACTTAAGTTCACTTTCAGAATTTCTTCTAACATTTCTGTTAATGAACCCAATATCCTTACAGAGTAAATGTCTGTGGACGCACGCACGCACGCACGCACGCACTCACGAACACACACACACACACACACACACACACACACACACACACACACAAGGAGAGGTGGCTCAGACAATTCTAGTATTTCAAAGGCTGAGACTGGAGGATCATGTTGAAGGTTGAAGGCCAGTCTATGTTACATAATGATTTCAGGATAGCAAGATCTTATTTCAAAAAAGAGGGAAAAGGGGCGCAATGGAGAGATTGCTGAGGCAACTTGCCGGGTGTTGGTGGCGCATGCCTTTAATCCCAGTACTCGGGAGGCAGAGGCAGGTGGATCTCTGTGAGTTCGAGACCAGCCTGGTCTACAAGAGCTAGTTCCAGGACAGTCTCCAAAGCCACAGAGAAACCCTGTCACGAGAAGAAGGAAAAAAAAACAAACAAAAAAAAACACTGTCTGCTCATATAGAGGACCAGGATTCTGTTCCTAGCACCCACCTGGCTACTCACAACTGTAACTCCAGTTCTAGATCTGACACCCTCTTCTGGCCTAAATGGGAACTGCATGACTCACAGGCATACATACAGGCAAAACAAAAACACCCATACAAATAAAATATAATATAGAACCAGGTATTGCTGGCATATACCTTTAATTCCAGCACTGGGGAGGCAGAGGCAGGGGGGTCTTTGAGTTCAAGTCCCAGCTCCTACATAGTGTCTTACAACCTCCTATAATTCCAGTTCAATGGTATCCAATACTCTCTTCTGACTCCCATGGGCACTACGCATGCTCACATATACACAGAAAAAAAGTAAAGAAGAGAGAGAATAAAAAAGGGGCCCTACGAAGGAAGCCTAGAAATATGAAAGTTAGTATCTAATGGAAGAGAAAACAAGGATTCTTAATTTAGTGACCAGGAAAGTGGCTGGCTATAATGCAAAGAATTCTGGGAAGGTCCTGGGTTAAGTGTAGAAAGGATTCTGTCCCTCTCAGCTACAGAAACCTACAGAAACAGGTCAGAGATGAACAGCAGCTTGTCTGCAATTTGGCTAAAGCTTCTTTTAGGAGTGAGTCCTAAAGCTATCAGTCAGGACAGAAACTGAAATGGCTCTGTGCTTTGGGGAAAGAAATGCACAGGTCATAGACAAGAGAAAGGAACGACAGAAAAGAAAATTATGGGAGAACAAACCCAAAGACTCACACCAACAGAGGCAGAGCTGGAGGATAAAAAATAAACAAACAAATAAATAAATAATCACATTATGGAAGACAAAGTCTACAGATTTGAGAAGGAAACTGTATATATCCATATCGGACAGCTCATAAACACATCTAACTTTACTTCCCACCTCCAGGGGATTAAATGCTCTCTTCTGGCCTTACTACACACCTGCACGCATGCACTTCTAGACACACAGAGACAAACCATTAAAAAAATAGAGGCTGGAGAGATGGCTCACCAATTAAGAGCACTGGCTGTTCTTCAGAAAAGCCGGATTCAATTCCCAGCACCCATAAGGTATCTCACAACTTCCTGTAACTCCAGTTTCAAAAGAATTAGATGCCCTGTTTTATCACTGGTATAGACATACATGCAGGCAAAACACACACACATACAAATAAGCTGATGTTTTATTTTGTTTGGTTTTTTGAGACAAGGTTTTTCTGTGGCTTTGGAGGCTGTCCTGAAACTAACTCTTGTAGACCAGGCTGGTCTCGAACTCACAGAGATCCCCCTGCCTCTGCCTCCCCAGTGTTGGGATTAAAGGCATGTGCCACCACGGCCTGGCATAAACTGATGTTTTTAATCTCTCTCTCTCTCTCTCTCTCTCTCTCTCTCTCTCTCTCTCTCTCTCTCTTTTTTTTTCGAGAGAGGTGTTCTTGTAGCTTTGGAGCCTATCCTGGCACTTGCTCTGGAGACCAGACTGGCCTTGAACTCACAGAGATCCACCTACCTCTGCCTCCCGAGTACTGGGATTAAAGGCGTGTGCCACCAACACCCGGCTGATGTTTTTAATCTTAAAACAAAAGAATGCCATACAGAAAGTTATCTCCAGAAGATCTCCAGGCAGACATGGTGGCACATCTATAATTCTAGCACTCAGAAGAAGCAGGTTAATTTCCCTGAGTTCAAGGCCAGCCTGATCTACATAGCAATTTCCAGGCCAAACAGGACTATATAAGTTCTTGCCTCAAAAAAATATCGGCTATGGCAGTTCCTGCTCGTTACCTCCCAATTAGCTACTCTTTCTCTTCATCCTTGGAAATAGATACCAATTTGTTTGGGTGTTAATAAACACAACCCAAGAGAACAAATCACAAGATCCATTAATGCCAGAAGATAGCTAGAAGATGGCAAATGGTCAAACGACAGAAAGGGAATTCTGCTAAGAAATTTCTAGAAAAGATTTTTCTCTCCTTAATAAAGGAGGGACTAGGATGTAGCTCAATTGGAGTAGCACTTTCCTAGCATGCACAAGGCTCCAGCACCACACACACTGGGTGTATTCCCACATGCTTGGTTCCCAGCACTTGGGAGATGGAGACAGGAGGAAATCAACAGTTGAAGGCCATCTTCCTGTTCTCAGGTGTCTCCTCTGGCTCTGAAAACACAAAGGCATTTGGGAAAGAAGACTCATCTACTTTCAGTCTCTGAAATGCTAAGGATGTTGTTATTGCTAAATTACTCAAGCTGGGAAGACCACCATTAATAGTCAACTGTAAGCCATAAAGTAGCATGGGTCCTGAATCTGTCTTCCTCATTCTATTGTTGGGATAACCCCAAAGGGAACTGGCCTTGTCATTTCTGTTGTTTGTTCGATTTGTAAATTATACTTTATTTTATTTTTGAGACAAGGGTCTCACTATGTAATCTTGGCTAGCCTGGAACTCTCTATGTAGAAAAGGTTGGCCTTGAACTCACAGAGACCATCATCATCTTGCACTACATAGCAAGTTGGAAACCAATATGTATTTGGGAGGCTGAGAGCAACAAGACCACCTAAGGTTGGGGATAGTTAGGCTACATACACAACAAAACCCTGCCTATAAAACCAAAAGAAAACAAAAAGCTTTCCATTTGTTCCTTACCGCCTCCAGAAGAGGTTAAACTAAGAACTGAGCCAAATTTAGTCTACAGATATATTGGTGTGTTTTGCTTGCACTGCTGCTAAAAAATAAAGACAAGTATGGGGACTATAGCCTATGCATAAGGTTCTAAGTTTTCACCAACAAAAAATGAAAACGAAGACAAAAACCTTGAGCCAACATTTTAAACTTAGGAGATATTATATAATCCAAAGTTCCAGTTTTTCTTTTAAAATTGGAAGCTCAGACAAAATTAGTTAGAGCTGTATCTGGAAAGGAGACATGGGTTTACACTGAGGCTGGGGATGTAGCTCAGCAACAAGAGTCCTCTAGCATACTAGGACAAAGACCTGTGTTCAAGCGCCTCAGTACTGCATAAACATGTAATTCCAGGCCTTTAAACCCAGCACACAGACAGGAAGATCTCAAAAGAAAAGAAAAAAAAAATCTATCTGCCAAATAATAGCCACTGAGTGAATGAGCACTGGGAAAGGAAGACAAAGAGTACACACAGGGACCAGCACTGATGAGGTTAGGCAGGGCCAGTAACTCACATAGATTTCCATTTTTCGGTAGAGACCATAGTTGAGCAGCAAATTGTGAGTCATGCGGATTCGGTGAGGCTTCATTGGGTGGCCTTGTCCATAATAGTAGTTTCCAACATCACCTGAAGAAGAGAGGTATGGTTTTATTTTGGTTAGTTAGGTTTATTGAGATGGGTTTTCTCTGTGTAGCATTGACGGTGCTGGAACTCACTCTCTAGACCAGAATGCTGGTATTAAAAGTGTGAACCACCACTTGCAAATAACACATATCAGTGCAGCTGTCTGTGGAGACAGTCAATCCCCTGTGAAATGCCTGATGTGGGTGCTGGGAATTGAACCTGGGTCCTCAGAAAGAGCAGCCAGTGCTCTAACTGCAGAGCCATCTCTCCAGCCCTGAGAAAAGAGTCTTTAATTACATAGTTAAGCACTCTGCCAGGAAAACTCAGCAAACTCTAAGAATACTATTATTCATTTCTAATTTCCATGATTCATTCTCACCTTGAATAAGAGTAAATTCTGGGGACCTGCAGAAGTTAACACTTACCAGTGAGTCCAGTCTATTTTCTCCTTCAAAAATATAGGCACTCCCTGGGCTATGGTGGCGCACACCTTTAATACCAGCACTCAGGAGGCAGAGGCAGGTGGATCTCTGTGAATTTGAGGCCAGTCTGGTCTACAGAGTGAGTTCCAGGACAGGCTCCATAGGCTACAGAAAAACCTTGTCTCAAAAAACAAATAAAAACAAAAGAAAGAAAGCAGGCTCAGTGGTGGTGGCCTATGCCTTTAATTCCAGTACTCAGGAAGCAGAGACAGGTAGATCTCTGAGTTTGAGGCCAACCTGATCTACAGAATCTAGAGTGCGTTCTAGGACAGCCAAAACCATCCTGAAACACACACACACACACACACTATCACTCACACAAAGGGCTTGCCCCAGGTGTACCAAGTAAGTTCCAATAAAATAAAACAAAAAGAAATCAGGCTGAGCAAGGCATGTAGAACGAGCCAGCAAGGAACACCCCACCATGGCCTCTCCATTAGCTCCTGCCTCTAGGTTCTTGCCCTATTTGAGTTCTGGTCGGGAATTCCTTCAGTGATAGACTGTAGGGAGACATTGTAGCCCCACCTCCTAGTAGCTCGGAAAGGTGTGTGGGAACAAGCCCATAAGGGCGTGATCAGGGGAGGTCTAAAGGTGACAAGGTGGGGGGTGTAGTGGTGGTGGTGTATATCTTCTTCTCTGGCCTGGCTGCCCCAGGCATGCTTTGGCTGGTGTTTATTTGAATAAAGAAACCTTAGCCTTGCGGACTGCGGATCGGATCGATCTCTTCAACAGACTACAATTAAACCCTTTCCTCCCAACTTGCTTTTTTGGTCACAGCAATAGAAACCCTAACTAAGACTCTGCCTTTCTACCTTCATCTGCTGCTGCCCACCATCACCCTGGTGAGTAGTTACTATATGGCAAAATAATGCCGAGAAAAACCAGGTATGGTTATCTATACCCGTAATCCTTGCGCCTAGGAGACTGAGGTTGGCCAGAAAGCTAGCCGGATATATGGTGAGACAGCCTCAAAAACAGCAACATCGACGGGCGGTGGTGGCACACGCCTTTAATCCCAGCACTCGGGAGGCAGAGGCAGGCGGATCTATGTGAGTTCAAGACCAGCCTGGTCTACAAGAGCTGGACGGCCTCTAAAGCCAGAGAAACCCTGTCTCAAAAAACCAAAAACAAACAAACAAACAAACAAACAAACAAAAACCAGCAGCAGCACTCAGCAAGCAGAGGCAGGTGGCTCTCTATGGATCGTCTATAGAGAGAGTTCCAGGACAGCCAAGGTAGGCAGAAAGACCCTGTCTCAAAATAACATAAAATAAAATGTGTTCTTGCTAATGTGCATGTATCACATAGCACACATGGAGGTCAGGGGTCAACTTCTAGGAGTCAGTTCTTTCTTTCCACTTTCACACAAGCTCTAGATATCAAACTCAGGTCATCAGGTTTTTGTGGCAAGCACTTTTACTTGCTTTTTAAATATTTTTCTGAAACAGGACCTTACCATGTAGTCCAGGTTGGTTAAAGACTCATTATTGTCCTATCTCAGCTTCCTGACTGCTGGGATTATGGGTTTATGCTACCACACCCAGTTTGGTTATCTTTTCTTCTGATGAACTATATGCTACAAAGACTAGCTCAGGCCCCAAACACTTCATGGATCCATGTGACTGATCTTTGTCTCTAAAAGAAATCTACATAAGCCAGGCGGTGGCAGGCAAATCTCTGTGAGTTCGAGACCAGCCTGGTCTACAAGCGCTAGTTCCAGGACAGCCTCCAAAGCCAAAGAGAAACCCTGTCTTGAAGCCCCTACTCCCCTCAAAAAACAAAAAAATCTATATAAAGCACTTCACTCATTTCATTTTGCTTTCACATACTTATTTATATTTGAAGGCAAGGACATTCATAAGGCTCAATAAGCAAACAATGAATCACACTGAAACTCATGAAAATTAAGTGCCTGACTAAGATCACAGCTAAGGACTGATCTAGAAGTCAATTCTGATTCCAAATCTAGAACACAAAAAGACACCTCAGGTTTTTGGGTCTCCATTTAATCTGAGGAGTTCTGTGAAAACAGGAATAAGAGGGGAGGGGAGTTCAAGGCCAGGCTGCACTACAGAGTAAGACCCTGTCTCTAGGGGGCTGGAGAGATGGCTCAGCTATTAAGAGCACTGACTGTTCTTCCAGAGGTCCTGAGTTCAATTCCCAGCAACCACATGGTGGCTCACAACCACCTTGAATGAGATCTGGTGCCCTCTGCTGGCACGCAGGCAGAACACTGTATACGTAATAAATAAAATCTTAAAAAAAAAAAAAAAAGACCCTGTCTCTAACTAGACACACAGATGGATGACTACGTGGGACTATGTGGTAGGAAGTCCTTAAACAGTGTTCCAAACTCAAGTGGTCATTCTGTTGTTTTGAGACAGGGTGTCACTATATTGCTGAGCTTGAATTTTTGGCAATCTTTCTGGTTCAGTCTCCCAAGTATAAAATTACAGGCTCAAGCCACCACACCCAGTTAAAGGTTTTTAATCAGGCTGCTTTATAAAAAGTAGTTCTTTTTGCTGGTCCTAGTGGCACACACCTTTAATCCAAATACTTAGAAGGCAGAGGCAGGCAGTTCTCTGAGTTAGAGGCCAGCCTCTTCTCACAGTGAATTCCAGGCCAGCCAAAACTACAACAAACAAAATTCCTTCTATTTAGACACTAACATTTTTCTTTCAAAAGGAAAACTGGATTGGAACATGGTGGGCATGCTTTTAGTCACAGCACTTGGGAGGCAGAGACAGTCTACACATCGAGTTCCATACAGACTCCAAAAGCTACCTCAAAAAAAAAAAAAAAAAAAAAAAAAAAAAAAAAAAAGGAAAACTGAGGATCAAATCAAGAGAATCATGTACACCAAATGTTCATTACTGTTCTAGCTGACCCAAACTTCTGCCATTATAGTTTTTTAGGAAAGTGAATCTCTTGAGCTTGAGGCCAGCCTGGTCTTCATAGTGAGTTCCAGGAGAGCCAGGGCTACATAGGAGAAACCCTGTCTCAAAAAAAGAAAGAAAAGAAAAATTGGCCTATAAAAGGTAAAGGGACCTGCCAATTACTGTAAATCTGACAAGCAGAGCCAAATCTGAGTCCCACCAGTAAATTCATGCATCTAGTCCCTTCTCTAAGAATGGAGTCCTTCTACTTTTCTCCCGGCTCCCATTTCACAACTGCTCAAGTTCCTATAATTCACCTGTCCTGTATCACTTTCATGAAAGGAATGTTCCTGTATTCACTGCATTGCGCAGGGTAGATTGAAATGCCAAGGTCTTCCTGCCTCGGCCTCGGCTAACATTACAGGCTGTGCTTACCTCACCTAAAGGACTCCCTACACTTTCTCCCTGTCCTCTACCCTTCCAACTCACCTACATGACAGCCTCTCCCTCTCCCATACCCCCTCATACCTGTGTAGACTTTGGCTTCTAGCTCATCTGTCTCCTCCACAACTATCACTAACAGCCCCTTTTCTATGTCTTCAACTTCTTTATTTTATGTAAAGACTCTGTGTTTTGTTTTTCTAGACAGGGTTTCTCTTCATGGCATTGGATGTCCTGGAACTCTCTTTGTAGACCACGCTGGCTTGAACTCAAAGAGATCCACCTGCCTCTGCCTTCCACTGCTGGGACTGAAGGCACTTTCGACCACTGCCCAGCTTATAAAGACTCTTCCAAGGCTACAAAACAAGAGTTTATCTCAAAAATGGGTGTGGTGGTGCATATCTTTAATGTCAGCACTCTCAAAGTGGAGACAGGTGGATCACTTTTGGTTCCACCCACACCAGGCTACACAGCAGGACCCTGTCTCAAAAATAAGTGATTTCAAGCTAAAGTATCCTTTTTACTTCTCCACTTATTCTGGATCTATGGCAATCTAGCTTTTGCCCCAATCTTTGCCAGCTCATCTCCACTCTCTGTCCTTCGGTTCTGTAACTCAACACTTTCTGTGCACTTACTTTTCTATGTATTCTTTGTCCACTTTTTAAAATCTTTTTTCAGCCAGGTTGGTGGTGGCCACACATTTTTGCTCTCAGCACTCAGGAGCAGATCTCTGTGAGTTCAAGGTCAGCCTGATCTACATAGTTCTATGACAGCTAAGGCTACACAGAGAAACCCAGTCTTTAAAAAAAACAAAATAGCTGGGCAGTGGTGGCATACTCTGGAGGTAGAGAGGCAGGTGAATCTCTGTGAAACAGCATGTGGGTCTTGGGAATTGACAAATCCTCAGTACAAAGTATTCTAAAACTGCTGAACCATTTATTCAGTCACCCTATTTTAATTATGTGTGTGTTGTGTATGTGTGTACACATGAGTACAGGTGCCTGTGGTAGCCAGAAGAGGGTGCAGAATCCCCTGCAGCTGGAGTAACAGGCATCTGTGAGCCACCCAACATGGGTGCTAGTAACTGAAATGGTCCTTTGCAAGAGCAGTATGCACTATTAAATGCTAAGTCCTATCTCCAAGGCCCTCCTTCCTTCATTTAACCAACAAATACTTATTTAACATCTACTATTGAAAATTGAAAGGGAGGAGAAATTATGTAATCCTATTATAGTCTCAAAAGAAAAAAATCTTAAGTCAATTATGAGCCACCCAACATTTTAGGAACCAGGGATACAGAGATTTTTCTAAGATTATCTACAAGAAACAAAAAAACATTTCTGGGTGGTGGTGGTGCATGCCTGTAATCCCAGCACTTGGGAGGCAGAGGCAGGAGATCTCTGAGTTCCAGGCCAGCCAAGGCTATACAGGGAAACCCTATGGGGGGGGGTTCAAAAAAACAAAAAGAGGGGGGCTGGAGAGATGGCTTAGAGGTTAAGAGCAATGGCTGCTCTTCCAAAGAACTGGAGTTCAATTCCCAGCACTCACAGCTGTCTGTAACTCCAGTTCGAGGGGATCTGGAATCTTCACATACATGCAGGCAAAACACCAATGCAAACAAAACAAAACAAAAAACACAAAAACTGGCTGCTAAGCATGCTGGCCTATCTGGAGGCAGAGGCAATCTGATTTCTTAAGAGTTCAAAGCCAGACTGCTCTACAAAGTGAGTTCGAGGGCAGCCAGGGCCACAGAGAAACTTTACTTCAAAAACAAAACAAAACAGAAAAAATAGAAACAAGAACTATCTAAGGTATGTCCACTGGGTAAGACTGAACCAGGAATGTGGCTAACAGTGGAAAATGAACCATCAGGGCCACTGGATGTTCTTAGGTGACTTCTTTCGAAATAAAACTGGCCAGGCGTATGTTGGGCTTTAATCCCAGCACTTGGGAGGCAGAGGCAGGCAGATCTCTGAGTTCGAGACCAGCCTGGTCTACAGAGTGAGTTCCAGGACAGCCTCCAAAGCAATACAGAGAAACCCTGTCTCAAGAGAGAAGGAAGAAAAAAACAAAACAAAACAAAACAAAACAAAAACCTGGCCAGGCGTGGTAGCACACACCCTTAATCCCAGCACTCCAGGCAAAGGCAGAGTAGGTTGAATATCTCTGAGTGGGAGGCAAGCCTGGTCTACAAAAGTGAGTTCCAGAACAGCCAGGGCTACATAGAGCCTCTGTTTCAAAAAAATAAAATAAATAAAAATAATAATTTCAAAACAGTTTCTTCACTCTCTACAACCTGAGTGATCACATCCTTTTCTAAATTAACTATCTGCATTATTTTATACTGACAATTACCAAAAATAACTGTCTTCTAAACTTCAGATCTAAATGGCTGGCTGGCTAGATGTCCCCTAAACAACTCAAAACAATTATTCCTAAAACACGGAAACCAAAGCTAGACAAAGTAGTGCAGGCCTAGAGTCAGCAATCTGAGAGATGAGGAAGAATCTTAGTTCAAGACCAGTCGAAGCTTCTTAGTGAGATCCTTTCTCAAATGAAGGCGCTGTCCCCTTTACCAGGTTGTTACCTCGACTTCCCTGGGCCTGGTGAGCCACTCCAGTTCTAGGATCCTAAGCACTGACACACACCTATCTGCTCGTTCAGCACGGGCTGAGGCCTCTTCTCTGTGTTCTCCAACTCTGAACATCCCCCTGATCCCAGCACTTACACAGAAAGGTACTTGTGACATTGTCTAGCTCCCCCTTCAGACGGGAACTCAAGACAGGAAATGTGACTCGATGAGCCCTCCAGCCCCAACAGAAACACAACCCCGAACAGAATAAGCTGCTCCATACTGGCTCAATGAAAAGTCCGTTTAACAAGTTGCATCTTTCCCCCGGCATCCCCGGGGAGCCCCATTTCCCAACTAGCAACTGCAGGCCCTACTCACAGACTTGGGGAGTGAGGTGGGGGAGGGGAGGGGAAGCGGGTGGCCAGCCCTGAAGAACTCACCAAAAAAAAAAACGACAAGGGACAGTGAAAGACCTTTGTATTCTCAGCAGCAGAAGATATCCTGGCAAACCGTCTCCACCATACTACGCCCCCCACCCCCCGCGGCAGGCTCAGCCTTCCCCCCGAGGAGTCCCACTCCCACTTCTTCACGTCGGATTCCCTGAAGAGACCTTCCCCCTCACCGAGATTACCCCCGGCTACCCCTTCCACGACCCCCATTCCCGGCCTCAGCCTTGAGAATTCGTCTCCTCAACCTCCTCCTTCAGCCTCGACTTCCCTCAACCGCCCCCTCAGCCTCGGCCTCCTCGCAGGCTCCTCCCTCAGTCGCGACCTCTTCCCAGCCTCCTCGCCCTGTCTTCCCCCAACGCCCGGCCCCCGCCGCCAGGCCGCCGCCCACCGTCGTAGTAATAACAGACTTTCCTCTTGGTGCCCTGAGTCTGCGCCATCTTGCTCACCGCCCGGCCCTCCCGTCAGTCTGTCCGCCCGCCCGCCCGCTCGCGGCTCCTCAAGGCGTCCGACCCGGGGGAGGAGCCAGCCCCGCCGCCCCGCCCTCCCATTCCGGGATCACCTATAGCAGGACAGCCCGGGCGCCACTGCAACCAATCAGCTTGCGCGGGGCCGGGCCCGGAACTCGGCGTGGGGCAAGGGCAGCCCGGAGAAGCCGCCGCGGGCCCCCTGGGCCTGTACCAAAGTCCGAGGGGTGGGGGAGGCCGGGGGGCCGTACCATCAAGTCCCGAGGGAGGGAGTCGGCTCCGCGAACTCTGGAGCCCCGCTTCACGGTTCGGAGCGTGTGTAAGCCTCGGGGGCCAGCTTTCTTACTTTACCGAGAATACGCTGAGGCTTCCCAGGGGAAAAGACTTGCACAAGGTCACTCAGCTAAACGAACAGGTTGGATCTGGAAAGAGAAATAAATGATAAATGAAGAAATAAATGAAAATAGCCAGAGGCCTACTGTAGTGGGTGGGGCAAGAGCTTTTCATGTTCATAAACTATGATGATCCGCCTTTAAAAAAAAACAAAAAAAAAAAACTCCATTTTAATTGGGCGTTGGTGGCGCATACCTTTAATCCCAGCAGAGGTAGGCAGATATCTTTGAGTTCGAGACCAGCCTGGTCTACAAGAGCTAGTTCCAGGACAGCCTCCAAAGCCAGAGGGAAACCCTGTCTCGAAAAACCAAACCAAACCAAAACAAAACAAAACAAAACTCCATTTTAATTGGGCGTGGCTGCGCATACCCCTAACCCCAGCACTGGAGAGGCAGAGGCAGGCTTGGATCTCTATAAATTGAGGCCAGCCTGGTCTACACACTGAAACCCTGTCTCAAAAAACACCCCTCACCGCACCCCCTAGTAAGCAAGTAAGGCTGAAGAAGTTAAGATCTTTGTGAGTTACTCAATGCTACAAATTAAATTCATTTCCAATTATATTGTTTTGTTTTGTTTTGTTTTTGAGACAGGGTTTCTCTGTGTGGCTTTGGAGGCTGTCCTGGAACTCTCCCTGTAGACCAGGCTGGCCTTGAACTCACAGTGATCTGCCTGCCTCTGCCTCCTGAGAAACTCTATCTTGAAAAAGAAAAAACAAAAAAAGAGGTGGGGTTGAGGCTTGCACCACCAGCATGGTCAGCCCTTCTTTATATAGGGCTAATCTTACTCCGTTGGGGATTTCCTTCAGGCCTTTAGAAATAAGGAAACAGCAAAGGGCAAAGAAACAGACCTATTTCATTTCTGTGTTGCTGCTTCCCTACTGGCTTTAGGTGGATCTACTTACCCTTTGTAGGACTCCATTTTCATCTTTACAGTATGGAGAGAATAAGATCCCAAAATGTATCAGCTCCGGGCCACACATGGTACCTACTATGGAATGAGAATCGTGGACCTTGAATCATAAATGTGAGATGTAGAACAAGGCTTACAACCTTAGTTGCCCACAGAGCTCAGGTGGGTGGCATAAATGCATGTGTTTATATTCTTATGACTCAGATATTGTTTGTTTGCATATTTTAAAACTTGGAGTTTTTTATTGGGCTGTCAAGGCACAGGCCTTTAATCCCAGCACTCAGGAAGCAGAGGCAGGCAGATCTTTGTGAATGAGTTCAAGGGCAGCCTGCTCTACAGAGCAAGTTCCAGTGCAGCAGGGCAACACACAGAGAGAAACCCTGCCTCAAAAGGCAGAAGAAAAAGAAAAGAAAGAAAGAGTCAGTGGTGGTGCATGACTTTAATCCGAGCACTCAGGAGGCAGGGGTAGGTGGATCTCTGTGAGTTCAAAGCCAGCCTGGTCCACAGAGCAAATTCTAGGACAGCCAGAGCAACACAGAGACCATTTCTTGGGAAAAAAAGAAAAAAGAAAAAAAAGAAAGAAAAAGAAACTTAAGAGTTTTTAACATCCATAAAGAAATATACTACCTTCTCCCCTCTTTTATCAAACCTACTGTCTAAACTGCCATTTTTTTTTTTTTTTTAGTTTTTCGAGACAGGGTTTCTCTGTATTATTATTTTTTAAATGAAGACTCTAAGATCTTTTTATTTATTTATTATGTTTACAACATTCTGCTTCCATTTATATCTGCACACCAGAAGAGGGCACCAGATCTTATTACAGATGGTTGTGAGCCACCATGTGGTTGCTGGGAATTGAACTCAGGACCTCTAGAAGAGCAGTCAGTGCTCTTACCCTCCGAGCCATCTCTCCAGCCCCCTCTGTATTGTTTTTGAGCCTGTCCTGGAACTCACCCAGACTAGGCTGGCCTCAAATTCATAGAGATCCTCCTGCCTCTGCCTCCTGAGTGCTGGTATTAAAGGCGTGTGTCACTACTGCCTGGCTAAACTATCATTTTTAAGTGTCTTTAATTTTCTCATTTCTTAGTAGGCTGGTGACAGAGGCAAGTGGATCTCTTATAGTTTGAAGCCAGTGCTCTACAGAGAGAGAGTTCTAGGACAGCCAAGGCTACAAAGAAAAACGCATCTTGAAAAAAAAAATTGTATTTTTCCTTTCTTCATTTTCTTCATCATGAGAACAGCAGCACCAGGCTGTGGTAAATAACTACTAACACTTGGCTTAGAATAATAGTGGGTAGAAGGGACTCTGGCAGAGGGAGAAGTCATGTCCCAGCAAATGGAATGGCCAGCACTTGCTCCATGAGGACAATCAAAACCAAGGAACTCAAATGAGCCATTCTTCAAGATCTACAGGTTTATATATAAAAGTTCCCCAGGTTTATAGATTGATTAAATCAGCTCTTCTTTAAGATAGCAGTGAAAATTCTGAACCTGGTGGTGCATGCCTATAATCCCAGCACTCAGGACAGGAATATAGGAAATCATGACTTTAAATGAGCCTATACCACAAAGCAAGACAAAGTCTAAAAGAATCCCTTTTTTGACTGGAGGTGTCCTTAATGTCAATAAATGGTAGAGCATTTGCTGAGCATGTGTGAAACCATGGGTTCTTTGTTTGTTTTGCTTTGTTTTTTTTTTTTTTTTTTTTTTTTTTGGTTTTTTTGAGACAGGATTTCTCTGTGGCTTTTTTTGGGGGGCTGTTCTGGAACTAGCTCTTGTAGACCATGCTGGTCTTGAACTCAGAGATCCGCCTGCCTCTGCCTTGCAAGTACTGGGATTAAAGGTGTGTGCCACCACCACCTGGCAGAAAGGGTTTCTTTATGTAGCCCTGGCTGTCCTGGAGCTTGTTCTGTAGACCAGGCTGGGCTCAGTATCCCTGCCCCCCCCAAAAAAAAACAAATTCAAGAGTAACCTTAGTGAAGAATTCTTTAAAGCTGTATCTCTTCACCACGTGGTGGTAGCACACACCTTTAATCCAGCACTTGGGAGGCAGAAACGGGCAGATCTCTGTGAGTTCGAAGCCAGTGCTGGTCTACAGTACAAGTTCCAGGACAGGTTCCAAAGCTACAGCAAAATTGTAACTGGTGGGCCAGTGTAATAGATGAGTGTGCAAAGACTGGCCTGTAGCCAAGCCAGATGACCTACACTGAATCCCCAGGGGTCATGAGGTAGAAGGAGAAAAGCAGCTCCTGAAAGCTGCAGCACACACATTTGTAAATACATAAAATGAATTAAAAAAAAAAAAACATGAAAAATCTAACTCTCCCCCAAACATGACCATTAGTATATACTATACTATCTATGTCTTTCTATATGTTCTCTTGTTAAAGTGTAAACACTGTAAGATGTCAAAGGTTTTGTGCAATTGGTGTGTGTGTGTGTGTATTGGGTTTTTTTATTTTTATTTATTATGTATACAACATTCTGCTTCTATATATATCTGCACAGCAGAAGAGAGCACCAGATCTCATTACGGATGGTTGTGAGCCACCATGTGGTTGCTGGGAATTGAACTCAGAACCTCTGGAAGAGCAGTTGGTGCTCATAACCTCTGAGCTATCTCTCCAGACCCGTGTATTGGGTTTTTATACAGGAGCTCTTGTAGTCCATAATGCACTGTGTAACCCTGAACTTTCTCACCTTCCTGCCTCCATTTCCCAGTAACTGATGGGATGCTACCTCATGGGACCACTGTTGTAATCCAGGCAAATCTGGCTTCAATTGGCAGGTGTGTGTATCCTGGGATCTTTAAAAGAAAGGCTCTACCCACTTCCATTCTCTCTCTCTCTCTGTCTCTCTCTCTCTCTCTCTTTCTCTCTCTGTCTATGTATCTCTTCCATTCTCTCTTTCCCGCTGTTCCCCTGGGGCAGACAGGACTTTTCCTGTTTTCCTCTTCTCTTCTGTCCTCTCTCTGTCTCTTTACCTCTTTCCTCCTTCCTTCCCCCTTCCCTCCCCTTTCTATTTATTATTCTATTTATTATTCTCACTTGCAGGGCTGTGGTGGCACACGCCTTTAATCCCAGCACTCAGGAGACAGAGGCAGGCCCATCTCTGTGAGTTTGATACCAGCCTACAGAAGGAGTTCCAGAACAGCCTCCAAAGCCACAGAGAAACCCCCATCTCAAAACACCAACCAAACAAACAAACAAAAAACTTCTCACTTAAGCTCTGTCTGCCTGGCATTTTTGTTCCCCACCTGGGTCACCCTGGCCCACCATGGAATCTGCCAAGGTCCCCTTGTGCTTTATCAGAACAACCACAGGCTTGCTAGCCCATTTAGCTTGTGTGGATTTTATCTACCGTAAAATCTAGGGCCTGAAACATGCCTGGAACACGAAACATCAATGACAACTTGTTAAATGAGCATATTCAGTGTAGGGAACCTCCAAGTCCATTCCAGACACCCCAAGACCAAGTTCTCAGCACAAAGGAGATGGATTTGCCCCAAAGGGATAGAGGACAAAGGAGAAGGGAAGGGTTGTTTTTCGTTTTCTGATTTTTTTCCCTCCTCATCCCCCAGATAGGGTTTCTCCATGTAAAAGATTTGGCTGTCCTGGAACTCTGTAGACCAGGCTGTCCTGGAACTCACAGAGATCCAGCAGCCTCTGCCTGCTGAATGCTGGAATTAAAGGCATTTGCCACCACTACCCAGCCAAGAATGCTAATGGAACAAAGGAGAAGGGAGAAAGGGCAAG